GTCTCAGTCCTGTACTGAATTTAGTTTTCAGCTGGAGCACCTCTCCCAAAAAAGCATCCAAAACTGTCATCCAGCCTTTAGGTGGTGCTCCTACATTTATTCCAGACATACCTGGGCAGCAGTGTCACACACGTTGTTGTTGTTTGTTGTTATTATTGGTTTTGTAAATAATAATAATAATAATAATAATAATAATAATAATAATAATAATAATAATAATAATAATAATAATAATAATAATAATAATAATTTTAACTTTCATTATTTTTGCAATGACCTATGCAACCATTTTACTGTAAATTCTTTTTACGTATTTTTTATAGTCTAATAAAATGGACAGGACTCTAAAGATTACTTTTTCTTCCTGCCTCTCCATTTTTTTCTTTTAAGCAAAGCATAAAACCATGTGGCACTGCTTTGAGTCAGCAATTGCTTAAACTTTTTAAAATTCCATACACTAAGTGAAAAATGAGATTTACAAAACTAATGGAAAATAAATGTCTCCTGAACATGCAATACATTGACTTGCTTCCTTGCCTCAGTCCATAAAAACAGATGGAAGCAATAGCTACAGTGAATTACCTACTGCATGTAGGGTCCTGTGCTGTCTCTAGGCAGCCCTGGATGAGAACAGACCATGCCACTTTGTCACCACCCCACTCTAGTGGCTGCCTTCACTGGTGTGGATCTAGGGGTCATCAGCCTGTTTCTCACCCTATTTTACACCTGCAATGCATACACAGGGCTGTCTTTCCACCACATTTCCACTGTACCTGGACTCCTGGGCACAAAGGGAATACATACAAATAATGGCAATTTTCTCCCCGGAGCCTTGACCCAGCTCAATTCCTCTAAGCAAGGGAAACTTGGAGGCATATCTGAAGGCACAATCCCTCAAATCTGAAGGCAAAATCCCTTGTGCAGCCAAGGCACAACCTGGAGGAAACACAAGCAGTTGCTTTCCCAGGGATATACAATTGTTTTCCACAGCAAATAAGTTCCCAGCATGAGTTATCCACCACTCACAAGCCCTGTTCAATGTATCCTTGGAACACATGCCTCTCACCACACACACAGAAGGAAAACTAATTTGCACGGGAATGGTGTTTCAGGACTCTGCTTTCCGAAGTTTGCCTAATAAAGCAGAGAGCAAAGAACACATTATTTTCCTGAATATATGAATCATACCTTGATGGTGTCTACTTTGAATCATGGCATTCAGAGATCTCCCTGGAGCACCATTCCTTACTTTAGAAGAGAGCAGCTATCTCCAGCAGAGATGCAGCACATGTGTCGAGCTGATGGATGGCCATGCTCTAGCAAGAGTCAAAACACTTAGGAAAAAGAAGTAAAAAATTCCCTAGAAACCTTAACTAGCTAGAGAGTAATTTGAGCATTGCATTCAATTTACTGGCTACCAACAACAGCAAAATTTGGCATCTTCCATTGCTTTGCAGCAATGTCCTTTTCCCCACTGCAGAGCCCTCTCCCACCCACGCTGCCCACGTGCCTGTCGTGGTTGATGAGGGAACATATTCCACTGAGGTCAAGGGCAGCATCATGTCAGACCACAACAAAAACACCATCAGGCCTTGGTTCAAGAGAGATAAAGGGAGTCTGGTAAAAAATTTACCATGACTTAATCCTTCTAATAGGACATAAGAAACAATACTCACATATATTGCCCTTTGCTAACATGTTTGAACAAAAAAAGGGGCTTGTTTTGTTAATTAATAATTAAATATTAGCAATTTAAAGTACTGTATATTGCTTACACATTATTTAGTACTCAGCACCTACCAGGCCTTCACAAAGGATATTCCTTCTGCAGCCAGTGAACACTTTTGCAGGTTTTACTGGACCCCAGAGGAAGGGACAGCACCATCCCAGAACAGAAAAGCCTGTTCCCAGGTCTCTGCAGAACACTCACCCTTCCTGCAGAGCCTGCCAAGACCAACCAAACAGAAATGCAGTACCTGAGCAATGCACCTGCACAATGGCAGGGAACAAACCCACTTCAACACCTGTACATTCCATTCTCAAGTACCACTGTAGGAATTACCATGGCTGACATTCTCCAAGATGGCCCTGTGGTGACATCCAGTTGAGATACAATCCTGGAAATTAGGAAGTTTAAATCTCCACTTATTAAAAAAACCCCAAACAAATCAACAACATAATAAGAATCCTTGCATATAAATTCACATCCATCCTGCAGCACCTGCAGGTATTGCTGCCAGGTGGATGCTGGATTCTCAGAACTAAGAGCGGGGTGTGCTGCAAGGGCTCATTGCATTAAAAAACCCCTCAAATATATGCAAAACTGGACTCAAATCTGTCCAGGAGATAAAGCCTAAGGCCAGAAGGACTTTACTAATTAGGGCTATGTGGGCTCTGCTGTGTGACCTTTATAGCGCACCAGCTCTGTGTTGTGAGATCAACAGGTTAAACAGAAATATATTAAAATTAAAGGTATCACCAACCCTGGTCTCCCATCCACCAGTCAGGCTCACTTCACATGGAACGACATTCCCTTAGCTCACATGCTGTCTTCTGCCAAATCATGTGCCATTTGCTTTAAATGAAAAGGCTCTTTAACCACTTCTACTCATGCAAAAGGGCACTGAGCAGGGAGAGGGCCACTGCAAATGCAAATCAGGATTTCTCACAACTAGAGCTGGCTGCAATTTGCCACCATTTTTAGACTTTTTTTCCCAAGGAATCTTTCCAGTCGGCCTGAAAATCTTTCCAGCCAGACAAAATGCAGTCAACGCATAAATGAGTTGACAAGTCATTCTCTGCACATACTAAGTTGCTTTTATTAATCCAGAACTGCATGCTACAGATACTGTACAGCATGAACATTTATTCATTACAAAAAATGGCTTCCAAACCATTAAAAATGAAAATCGGAATAAGAGCATAAAACGGAACAGTAACATCACAACTGTTAGGAAACATTCAAAGTATTCACAAAAAATGTTATAGTTAGCATCTTAATAAACCAGAGAAAAATCTGAGACAGTTTTACAATCGCTTCATGTCAACTACAATGGCACTGAATGAACAGATGAACAATTTTTCAGCTTTATACAGCGTTTTTTGCAACATCAACATGCCTAGGTTTTTTTTTTGTTTTAAGTTTGCTACCTACCTGTATGTAGTAAGTGTACATAAAAGTGGCAGTCTGATTTTCCTTTTATGAATAATCTAATATACAGAATTTGGCCCTTAAGGGTTTATACCTCTTCATTTTAAATGCTTTCCGGACAATCTGCTACCAAACACGTCTGTTATAGGTGACATTAAAACTACATACATATCTACCTATGTAACATCACAGCAAAACATGATGAACAAAAAAATTACAGCATTAAAAAAAATAATAAAGTTGTCGGGAGAAAGTTAAAAGTCACTGAGAATTTTGGCACATAAAAATTTTGCACACAGCCTACAGTCCTAATGTCGCAGGGGATTCAGCTGCAGTTCTGAACGGGAGACACTTGGACCTTGCTATTTTTCAAACAGCATTGCTAAAAATTCCCTTGCTAAATTTTCAAGTCTTTTCGAGTGTAATGGCTTTTAAAGCAATTTTATTCTTTACACTATTGATCCTTGAAAAAATGCATCTGCGAATGTCCATTTGGTGGCAACCGTATTTCAAATAGCAAAAAAAAAAAAAAAAAAAAAAAAAAAAAAAAAAAAAAAAAAAAACTCTGCAAATGTCCTTTTTGGGGAAACCCTTTTTAAAAAAAAAAAAAAAAAAAAAAAAAAAAAAAAATCACGAAAACAAATCAAAAACAAAATCCCGGAAAAAATATATATATACACATTTATATATAAACTTAAAAACCTTGTACAAATGAGTTGTTATATATAAGATGCTTACACTAAAGAAAAAAAAAACCTTTATACAATGTTTCAAGGAAAAAATAAAGGAAGAAAAAAACATTTAAAAAGGGACAACATACAGATACAACAAGCAATTTCTAAAGCAATAAATACTACTGGTCCAATAGCGTTGTGATACTTTTAATTGTTGAGTAGCGTCCCCTCCCCCAAAAAGAACAACACCATGGAACAAGGTATATTAACACATTTTTTTAACCCTTTGTTTCTGTACATTTAAACAATAACAAGTAACATCACAATAAAGGTTGTTTCACACAAGGAAGAAAAAAAAAAGAAGTAGTAGCGGCACCGCATTCGTTGTGCCCTTAAAGGTTTAAAAACCAGATGTAAAATGATTGGTTCGCAAGCTCGTATTTAATACAAATAATAAAGAACCAATGCCTCTGGCAAGGGCTGCTTCAAAATTGCTTCTTTTTTTTTTTAATTTTTAAAATCAGTCTTTAAAACTAAGCTATTGGAACTACATAACAATTATGTATATATATATATTTTTTAAACGCTACAAAGACTTTAAACAGCTGTTGATAAAAATTTTGGCAGAATCATGAGGCTTTTCTCATCTACATATTTAAAAAGGAGAAATTGAAATAAGAATGGGTCAAATATTGACCAATGAACTCGATAAAACATCAACTAATGTAGCCACATGGCACAAATTAAAAATGAAACTGAGAAACGACGACAAACAGCGGACGACAACAAGAAGAGAAAAAAAATAAAGAAAAAAAAAAAAACAAAACCCCAAATACCAACAGAATTCAATCCCCCCGAAAGGAAACCGAAAGGGCTAACGAGGCTAAAGCTATTCTAAGGACTTCGTTACAAGGGAGAGCGGCTGGGGCTGTGTCCCCGCCAGCGAGCTGTGGGAATGCAAGGAGGACGTCGAGGGCTGTGCGAGGGATGCGGCGGCGGCCGGTGGGAGGGCGGCCGGCGGGTGGTCCAGGGCCCCGTTGGGGCAGCTGGCGGCGGGCAGGGCGCCGGGCTTGCTCGCGGCGCTCTCAGCGAGCACCAGCGAGGATGGCGGCGGCATCATCACCAGGTGCGCCAGCGGGTCGGGCTTCAATGAGAGCGAGAGGGGTTGCGTTTGTTCAGTCTGTGGTTTCGAGTCTCTGGAGGGGGAGGCGAGCATGGCGGGGGAGGACGGAGGAGAGTCTAGTAAGCTTCCATCTGAAGAGGGTGGGCTGACGCAGCTGCCTTCACCTTGTATGTAGCGAACGCACTTTTTTTTTCTCCTAGAAACAGGGAGAGAGTTATCCATGAATAAAGGGCAGAGACGCTGATGGAGACAGTCATCTACAGCAAAGAGCCATCAGTCAGCTACTCTGGGCTCTGCATGGGTGGCATCCTGGCCCCATGTGCCATCCTGGGTGTCTGGCAGCGTGTTCTCGGCACCAAACCCGCTCGGGAACCTCCCCTCAGCTAAGAGATTTGGAAAGGAGTCACCAATTAATTGTCTCTTCATCCCCCTCCTCTTCAGGCCGCCTCCTTTCCTTATTTTCATAATCAGAAAACCAGATAAATGGGTTTTGGAGCCCACTGTTCTAATCTACAAACTTTCCTACATGGGAAAAAAAAATTAAAAAGTAATTTAATCTTCCTAAAATAAAAACCCTGGATAGCTGATGGTATCTCAAGATGTCCCATAACTGTCCAACTCAATGGGGCTATAGCTACACTTGTGTCACCTGTGGTCTCATACGATGTCTTGCCCTTGGGAGGCAAGAACGGCTGCAAACTACTGCTCATTGCTTTCTCCTCTGTTAAGAACCACACCAAATCCAGAAATGTCAGTCAGACAGAAGGGATATATAACAGAGAGAACAAGAGAGAGGGGAAATAAAAACAAAACGAACAAACAAAGCAAACAGAAGGAAAAAAACAGGAAAAGAACAGGAAAAACAGAGTATGGTCCAAAATAACAAGAATAACTGGTTGTATGGCCTGCAGGTTGTGGCTTTAAATCGACTCAGTTTTACTTTTTGTTTTAGGGGAGAGTGGTAGATTTGGGAAGCTGCTTGTCTGTGTTTTGGGGATTTTCCTCTGAGGCCATCCATGTAACTCCAGAGTGGGATCCAATTTCAGTAGGTGAAGAGCACGACGACAGGCACAAAGGTGAGGAGCAACATGGATCTTAATTTCACACCAGGGCATATGAGAGTCTCGCAAGAGCCGCTCATCTTCAAATAAATAAATGACCCGACAGAGATCTTTTCTCCTCCCTCTGTCCACTGGATAATGTAAAGGAGCAATGAAAACAGATGACAGTTTCACACCATCTCTCTTGCCAAGTATGCGCAAGACAATTCTAGCAGTAGGACAGAAATGAGGCAAACAACCACAGCATCTGGCAGAGTGATGTCCAGTGGCCACCTTGACCCTAAGCATGCTGGCTCTTCAGCCCTCCAATCCACAATCACACTTTCCAAGGGAAGTGCTGAAGTGCTCTCACACAGCCCAAGGCATAGGACAAAGCCTGTCTGGAGCAGCTCTGCCATGAGAACTTTGGATGCTCAGCTAAACTGCACAAAGCCACCAGTGTGAAGAAGGAGGTTGCTCTCCCTCTCCAGTGGATACATCACTCCAGCTCTGCAACTCCATCAGAGGGAGCGCCTGAGCGTGGCACAGCAGCTGAGTGTCACATGGGATATTCCCCACTCCAGGAGGTGCCCCAGTTCCCCTGCTGGTCACCAGTGTTCTCCCCTAGGTATGGCATTTGACTAGGTTAAACCAAGCTCCACCCTCGAGGCAATGAGGACAGATGCTTCTCATTTGCAAAGGAGACCACACTACCTTAATCCCGGAGTTAAAACTATCATCTCCCATAGCCAGGAAGGGAACAACCACCCCAGTACCCCATCTTTCACCAGCTTCAGTGAGGGACCAGTGCTGTGACATCCCTTCCTCCAGAGACTCAGGTCTGCTCTCAGATTCTGCTCCATGTGCCACATGGCAAGGTAAGGGGTTAGGGCTATTAGAGTTTTAACCACGTTAGCCTGCAGATCAATACATGCTAAAAACTAAAGACAACCATGCAACTTAAATGTTAAAAAGAAAGAAAGAAAGATAGAAGACAGCAAGTGAAGGCTGTAAACCATGCTTTATTAGAGCAACGTTAAAAGACAGAAAAAAAATTAATTTGGTGGGCTCAAAACAGACCTTTTTAATTCTTCTACCATCAACAAACAACACTGGAGATCTCTGGCTCTTGGCTAAGGACAGTTCTGCTGTTCTCTCCCTCCTCTCCTCTCTCACTACTTCCTACTTCAGCTGTGCAGCACTACCAGGTCTTTTTGGACCTTCTGTACAGCTCCAGTGGCAAAGCAGGACAGTTAAGCTCCACAAAGCTCACCAATCCTATTTGTGTGGAAAGATGGGTTATTACAATCTGGAGACTGCAGGACTCCCTCTCCATCCCCAAATTAAAATTACTTGCAAGCAGAGACCCAAGCTCTGCCTACCTCATTGATGTGAGTTCTGAAAGTCCTTTAACTGGACTGCTCTGAGCCTACAAGGCAGTAAATTATTTAACTGGAGGCAGTTTGAATCTAGTATGCCAGCATTTCACATTTATTTTTTAATATTATGTATGTTCTGTGGCCTGAAAGAAAGAGCTCCCATGGCAAAGCAGCTTTAAACCAGGTTTACCTGATTTCTGACGCTGCAGTTAACCTTTTAAAAAACAAACCAATTGCTCTGCTACCTGAAGTAATTTTCCTTTGACTAGGATTAAGGGAGCATATTGCTTCCTTTGCTAAACTCTAATAGCGTGGCCACTCGTAGTCTGAAAATAATATTTACTTAAATCATGATGGCTCAAGCGGGGAGATATTTCTGCAATCTGTGCCAGTTGCAGATTGGTTACCTGTGGATGTACCTGTCAGGGTTAAGTGGGACAAAAGGTCCAGAGGGCAATCCCCCAAAACACACAAGCCTAATTTTAGCAGATGTGAAGACCACCAGGGAGCTCTGGTGAGGGGGAATAAATAAAAATCTAAGGAACTACTTGTGCCTCAGTTTTGCTCTCCAAAAGGCTGGAACAAAAATACTACATATTGACATATTGCCCCCTCAGAAGCACTAGTGAGGATCATTCACATGGGCATTGCTTTGGAAGTGTTAACTTGCTACATCAGTAGAGCAAACACCAACAGACCTGAGCCCACTTTTGCTGCTCTTGAAACAAGCCCTGGAACAGCACCAGGAAACCTGTAATGCTGCAATTGCCATGAGTGAAAGCCACAGAAGAGTGCAAGGGTTTATTCAGTTGCTGTGGGCAAAGATGTCTCAGTTTTCACCACAGCAGCAAACTGCACATCTTTACCACCTACCTGAGTTGCACTACAAAATGCTACCATGCTAGCAAATGCAATGTTATAAAGGTTAGGACCAGAACTAGGAGAGAAATGCTCTAAAACCTAGTGGTAAAATGCCTCCATGCATTAAAAAAACAAAACAAAACAAGAAACCAAACCAAAACAAAAAGAAAAGCAGCTAACTCTAAATCGGTAAGTCCAAAACTATCAGCTGTACCACTAAAGTTGTCCATGATACACTGAAAAAGACTTCTGACCAAAATCTGGTATAAGTTAAGAGAGGGTTTGTGCTTCACATGTAACCTAAGCACTGTACAGACCAAATAAAAAGTTGCCTTGCTGATAAAATGAAGTTTTTAAAGTATGTTGCTTACTTAAGCAGCCAGGAAAAGATAAAGCAACACAAACATGATGTGCCCCCAGTTCTGGTACTTGGCATGCAGAGCCTGACATGCTTCACATACTCTATCTCTAGACTACACAAATATCTGCTGATAGTGTGCAGCAAAGTAACCACAGAACAGAGCCTAACTAAACACATCACTGCAGTCCTTGGCTAGCATGAGACTCGAGCTACAGTGAAGTAGCTACTCAGCTCTTCTGGGCTGAACCCTTCTCCCTTCAAGCATTACAAAACTGCTGCTTTCCCAGCTTGTTTAACACATGTCCTGGTACTGACACCTAACCCCCAACACCCCATAATACCGTGCCTCAAATGGGACAACATACAACCTGCAGAAGGCATTTCTGGTGCCTCCTCTGGCACACTGACACACACCCCCACCCTCAATCCGAGTTTCCTGGACACTAAGCACAGACAAGACTGCGTGCATACACAAAATACGATGGACGTCTGAGCTACATTCTAAATGAGATGGAGCACATGGGACTGGCATGAGTAAGAGGGGAAAATGTGGGAGAGGAATCACTACACACAGAGTGTGGTTTGGGTTGAAATACCTACCATCATAATATTCCAAATTCAAAGACTGCTTGTATCAGAATAAAGAAACAACAAATTTAACCAAATGCGATCATATAAGGAAAAAGGAATGAGAAAAGAACTACTCGGTATCCCTCCACCAAGAAAGAAGTACGTACTGAGTTACACATGGAATTAAACTCCAGTAGAACATGGGCTGCCGGAATTTAGGCTCTCTGATGTCTTTCATCTCCTTTTAATGCTGCAAACTGTGCTACTAAAGTTGTAATTAGTTTTGTCTAGAGCTCAGACGTTTACAGCTCACTTGTTGGGATAAAATTTAAGAAAAACTATATTTTTAGGATTAGGAAAAAAGATTTCACATAATTTTAAAAAATTGTATCTACATAAGCCTTACAGAGGCATAGTAGCCAAGAGGAAGCTGTTTTAATTTTTCAGATAATACCAAAAGAATGAATACAATATAAGCTGTAAACACTGGCTTTTACATCTCTAATAATGAGAAAAACACTAGTACTGCAGATCCCAGAACCTTTTTAAAAAGCCTCTGCAGGCAGGGGACATAGACCCAAATGAAAGACAAAATATAAATGTCCAGCTAAACATTAATTTTGCTGACAATATGGAAAAAAATAACCAAAAAAAGCCAAAAATTTGCCAGCTTTAAGGACTTTGAGTTTTCTTGTTCCCAGTTCTACCACCAGGGAGAGGTTATTGGTAAAGAAAGAGAGAAAATGGCATTAAATTAGCAAGAAATTCCAAAGATCAAAGATTATTAGCAATTGATGCTGTGGGAGAGAGAAAGGTGGGGAGTGGGGAAAAAAGATTAAAAAAATAAAATCACACAAATGCACTAAGAGGACAGATTGCTTTTATTTCCCCAAAGGCCTAGTGGGTAGTTTTATACCTGCATGGTTTGCACCATAAACTCTGTCGGTCAAGCCCGAACAATGCCCGACACTTCTTTGGAGTATTTGCATCTGTTAGCATAAGGTAAACACAAAAAATACAACACAATGGTGGATAGAGCTCATTTGGTCTGCGTCATCTCAGCTACAGCTACGTTCAATCACCTTCGTTTTATTTGGTAATCTCCCCTCGTACCAAGGGCAGGAAGGAATATAGGACTTTCACAATGAGCCAAAGGGAAAACCAAAAAAAAAATCTCCGACACAGCCACGAGCCTGTGTGGTGTCGGAGCCGCACTCAGTGCCGCGCTATCAAGGGCCTTGGGAGAGACTGTCCTTGGGTGGAGGCTTGGAAGGCAGGAGCGTGGTTGAGCCACGGATCAGATGGGCTTAAGGTTGATGCTGTTTTACAGTGGGTTTTTGGCTAGCAGCAGCAAAGAGGAAGGCAAAAAAAAAAACCAACAAACCAACCAACCAACAAAGGAAAAAAAAAAAGGAAAACCCTTTCGGAGAGATGATTACTGATGGCAGTGTCCCACTCCCTTGTGTCTTCTAGATCACAACACAGAGCTACAAAGCAACAAGGCAGGAAAAAAAAGGGGAAAGTACCAAATAAACCAGCTGCAAATCAGCCATAGCGAGTCTGGGAAAACTATACACACCTGCAGGGGCCGCACCAGTTATTCTGTTGATCAAGGCCAAAGCGCGCTCGGCATTTCTTAGGAGCGCTCAGGTCTGAATGAGTTCAAGAAAAGCGAGCAGAAAAGGAAGAGGAAAAAAAGAAAAGGGGAGAGGGGGGAGTGAGTGAGAGAGAGAGAGAGAGAGAGAGAGAGGAAAAGAGAAAAGGGGAGAAAAAAGAGAAAGGTAAAAATAAGGAAAAATAAAAATAAAAAAGGGAATAAAAATCAATGTCCTCGTTATTAATTGCAAATATTGACTTTTGATTTAAAAGTTTAAAAAAGTGAGAATCACATTTTTATTCAACTCTTGAGATTAGCTGTTGCAATTAAAGCTGCAGTATCCCTTTATAAAGGACTGTTTCTTTCCCTTTTAAGAGAGCAGGTATAGGAAAGTCTTTGTGGTTGGTCTAGTAGGATGTTTCAGGCAAGTTTAATTTGGGCTGGAGTTTCTTTTTTTTTTTTTTTTTAAAGAGGGGGGAAAAAAGGAAGAAAAGAAGCTGAGTATGGAAGTTAGATCCTGAACATGCTTTTTTCTTCAACTCAGATACAAAATAAGAGGAAAAAAAAAAAAGAAAGAAAAAAAAAAGAAATTATATCTCCTGGGATAATGCAGCTTTTGGAATAACATTCAATTTACTTGTTTTCATTAATTTGTATTTAAAAGAATGGATAAGAATAAGCAGATTGTGGGATGAGTATGTTAGTATCAGCCAGCAAATAAAATGTAAAGCATGGCAAGGTGCTGAGTTAGTACAGCTAGTGAATTGCAATGAATAGGCTTGAGCAGAAAGGAAAAAAAAAAGATCCAAAACTAAAATAATAATAAAAAAATGCGTATGCATGCTAATGTGAGAAGACTTAGTGGGAGCCATGAAAAATGCCATTAGATTAAGGAGGTTCATTACTGACTTGCTTCCATTCTTTATCAGTCTCTTTAAAGAAATACTGCATATTCAATTTGCACAGTTAGTACAACTCTTGCGTTATTTTTACTGTATTACTGTTTTAATAGCAATTGTTACAAAAACAAAAAACAAAATTAAAAAATACTATCAAACATAATAGATATAAAGATATATAGATAATAAATACTATCAAAACGTGTGGATGGTATTTTTTTCTTAATGTCATAAGTGTTTAATGTTAAAATCTATAATGGCAGGAAAAAAAATTAAAAAGCAGTTTATAAACTATTTTAAATGACTCAAAATGACGTTAGCACCTGTAATCGGAGGAAGTGAAAGGCAAGGATTTAGGAAACATTCGCTGTGTTCTGAAAAAAAAGAACAAATTATACAAAGGCTTCAAAAAAACTAAGTTAGAGCTTCTTCAAGATCGACTATGAGATTGCCTATGCAGTATTTCTAATTTCCTAAATAGAATGGCAAACCTCCTTAATTTAAGATGGGTGCGATTTACCACTGTAAGGCATGCATCAGGACATCCAGGGACAGCCCAAATTAACAGCACACGCACACGGACACGCACACACGCCCGCGGGTGCGCGGAGGAAGCGGGCGGCTGGATAAACGATGGCACAGGCATTCCAGCTACGGCTCTGCGGTTACAGGCTCGCCAACTACGCGGACAAACGCGGCTAGTGCCGCGCCAGGAGGCTCTGACATGCAATGGCTGGGTTACTAGTTTTAGAAGGGCGGTAACGCGTGAATTATTGGAGTGCATTTTAAAAAAAATAAAAAAAAAAGCTGTCTAACATAGGGACTGGCTCCTCTGAGGCCAGGAGACCTGTGCCCACCTCCCCCGTACCTACAAGGGTCACACCAGGACTGCCACACTTCCACTAAGCGAGAGGTTTAGACTTATCTTTACTTACCATTGGTCTCTCCTGGCTGCTTATCCCTTTTCCTCTTCTTCTTCTTTCCCTGCAGAAAACATACACAAACGAGAAGGATTAGAAATAAGCCCCAAAGAAGTGTCCTTGCAATGAGGCTGCAGCTGGAGCAGGAAGCTCCCAAGAGGGGACACCAAAGTGTGACACTGTCCCACCCTCCATGCAGGGAACTTTGGGGGGCCCCAAGGAGATGCTGCACCCCAGGACTGACTCTGCCTCCCTACCCTGTGACTTTTTAGACAGCCTCACTGCTGCCCACCCAGTGCTAACACCCATCAAGGCCATGGGCAGCTGGGGCAGGGGCAGAAGGACTTGCAAGTTGCTGCTTTTGAGCTGAGATCACCATGAAGACAAAAACACCTCACATCTGTATGCTCCTGCATGTAGAAGTTTCAAGAATCATTTGTGGTCATGTATTGGTGGGACAGGAAGGGGAAGGAGAGGGAGAATAGAGAGGGGAGAATGCGGTCAGACTGAGCGTCTGAAGTTCCTCAGCACCAAACCCCAAGCATTCAAGGAGAAAAGGAAGCCCACAGTAATGATAAATCCTAACCTGCAGTTTTATAGTTCCACTGACAAGCCAGAAAGCAATGCCAGGACAAGAAAAAAAAAATCCAGACATAGCCAAGACCCTTCCCACATTTTGCTCTATCACAAAGAAACAACCAGTTTTGCTAAACTCTATCCCTTTCCCAAATGCTGTACCACAAGATGATGAAATTTGTTACAGTTTTTGAATGGAGGGAGAAAAGCCTGTTCTGTTTCCCTCCAACAGTGTGGGAGAAGACAACTGGGAGCCCAGCTTCTGTGGAAAAACAGTAATTGCTTTCCAACAGAAAAAATACGAAGTAATAAGCATAGTTCAAAAAAGAACAGCTATTTTTCCAAGAAAACTCCTCTAACACTGGGGGGTTTGCAGACTCGTACAACAAGGCCAGTGTAGGCAACAGAGTAATTTCATTTTCACATCTCTCCAAATGCTAAAAGCAACAACTTTTGGATCAGCAATGTCTGGTGTGAATAGCACAAGAATTCCTGGCTTTTGAAGACATGGTAGCAAGCACAGCTGATGAGAAGACCTCAGAGCAGCAGTCCCTTGTGGTCAAGGGACAACAAACATATCTTGGAAGAAGGAATCTCACAGATCTTTTGAAGGGTTGGATGTATCTGGGAAAGCCAAGAGGTTCTCCCACACAGTGGGCATCTTTCTCAGCAGATGGATTCCAGATACATGGTTAAGATGGGCTTCAGCACGGCACATCCACATTTGGGATGCTCCCTATGATAGATTTCCTGGAATGTATTAGTAAAAAATTCCCCCAACATGAATGCAGAACATTGATCTGTTGTTGTCCCATTTTTCCTCCACAAAGCTGGCCTTGTGGCATGGGGTTTCTGCACTCATTCCCCCTTGCTTGCTCAGGGTTGTAAACTGCCACCCTGTTGTCCAGGCTTATGAGATCCTTCTGGAGATGGAAAAAGCAGTGTGAACTGTCCACCTCAAAGGAACTTTAAACAACAGGCACACAATCCTGCAGCCTCGATGCTGATGACAAATAGTCTCTGACACCTCTGAGGTAATTTTTTGGGATATGGAAGTTGTCATTTGCTAGAGCAGCCATCAGTCTATCATGACAGGCAGATAAGGCAGACAAGCACTGATCCTAAAGCTCTCTGAGAACAGAATAGGGAAAAGCACAGTATCTTGAAATGTATCACATAAAGATGCAAGAGGCTCCATCTATATTGATCTAGATTGACAGTAACTCTGAGAAAATAAGTGAAAAGCACAGTATCTTGAAATGTATCACATAAAGATGCAAGAGGCTCAGACTCTGCTCCATCTATATTGATCTAGACTGACAGTAACTCTGAGAAAATCAGTAAATTTTTTCCAGCTTTCAACAACATAACCAAAACCAGACAATTGCCTCAAGATCATAAGCCTGACTTTTATTTAATCTCAAGGAGGCCACTGGCACAATTAACAGACTGCATCTGTGGCAAATTTGCTTAATTTTTGCAGTACATTTGGGAATTCAAGGGCTATTTCAGTTTGAGACCTTATGACTTCTTCACTCGAGGGCCAGCCAGAACAAAGGTCAGAAGTCACCTGTCTTTAATACCTGGCTTGAAGAGCTTGTGAAAGTACTGAAATGCCATTAGGGAGCAATCTGTTAAAAACACCTGATCTACAGGAATGTCAGCCAGGGACCGGGAATTTCTCATTCTTTTTCAACACAAGCTTTTAAAACTCTTCCCAACAAAGAATGGACAGATGCCACATAGACTTCTTTACACCTTTTTCAAAGCATCAGGGAGAAGAATAATCTTTACTTGTTCAATTTCTGGGCTACAAGAGGATATTAGACTATGTAGCTAAATTAATATATGGACTTAAGGAAGGAACTGTGGCAGCAGTTTTTCAAGTGCTCTGCAGAAGACACCATTTTTTCTTTGCCTAAGATTATTCTCCCAAGACTTGAGCAGATTGTAACATTTTCTGTCATCATACTATACAAATTTTTATGCTGCAAGTAAATATAGGTGTAAATACCTGCTAACAATTTTGGTAGTTCTCTCTCTGGAGCCAAACCAACAGGTTTTGATAGGTCTGCAGATTTCTTTGGTACTAATTTTCTAGTCATGCAGTGGGTGAGGTGACTGGACCCTTACATACTTCCGAGTCCAGCACTCAGCACTGCTAAACATCTCATATTGGATCTCAGGAAGAGCCAACGTGCCTTGTGACACCAACAAACCATGAGGCTGAAAGCTGCATTTCCTGAATGCACTGCTCCTGTCTCTGAAGACTTGGACTATAGCTGGCCTTATCCTTGAGCCTGATGTGAGGTGCTTAACAATTTAACCACTTCAAGCAGACCAAAGTCACTCCCCTGCTAGATGTGTGAAAGGCTCAAGACCCTACAAACGGCTGAGGGAGGAGGGGCACTCAGGAGAGCTGTGAATGGACCAGGAGAGGAGACATAAATAAATCCTGCGGATGATGCAAAGGTACCACGCTCTCCTCAGGCAGGAAGGTTCCCCCTGAAGGTCACCTGGGGGTACAGCATCAAGCCGCTGGGAAAGCACTGGCTTTCTCATCCTGTCCTTTTTAGCTTGAGAAGAAAGGGTTTCTCAGTGTTCACACAGTGAGGACAAAAGTAAAAGGTCCTAAACACTGAGGCTTTGTACATGCCCATCTGTCAGTGGCACAGTCACTGTGCAGAATGAGCATTCCCGAAACCTCAGTCGAGCCTAGACTCCCTTTTGAACACCCAAGACGACGATACTGCACAGTGCTGAGGAACTACCTCGAGCCTGTGGTCTGACAGCCTCAGGCCAAACTGTGCTGAAAAGGGAAGGAAAATGTGCTAAGCAGGAGCTGTGCCTCATCAGACTTAAAACGGTCTCCTCCGAGGAGCAGAGAATCAAGAATATTCTGAACTGGAAGGACAATTGAGCATGCACAGGTATACCTGTATGAGCCTGCTGGAAAGAGAAGATGATCAAGAAAACAGAAGGATTTGAAAAAATGTCAGTAAGTACACATTGCTAAATAAGTGAGCATGTGTATTCTCCATCACTGAAAGGGCAGAAGAGTGTAAAGAGCTGCTGCTGCTTCTCCTGGCTTCACTGCAGACTCTGAACTGGCTTCCTCCCACCCATATAAAAATGTAGATTCATGGAGGCAAGTTTGTTATATAGAGCAAAACAGAATATTGATGATAAAACAGACGGGGATCAAAGAGACAGACTTCAACAAAACCATAAGGTGCAACCCTACACAAAACTGGCATCAACCTTAGAGTTGGTGGTCCCCAAGCCTGCAGGGAAGTGTGACTAGAAGGCAGAGAATAGGGTTTATTACAGAGTTATAGACCTTGGGAGTTTTAGGTGATTTTTATTTAACTTTAAAAAAAAAATCAAGATGCTGCTATAATCCTATTAAAAAGGGTTTAGAGCTCTCACCAATCCACAAATCTGTCAAGAATTTATGGTCTTAGGCTTGCAAACACTTATTACCATCTGCACAGCTTACCCTTCATGGAAAGAGCTATTTAGTACTAGAAGTTATAAAGCTGCCCTTATGCTTTTTAACAGACAAAAAATACTACCACTTTTAGCTCAAAACCAGGCTTTCTGAAAAGTAGAGGGAGGAATCAATTTTAAAACAATCCATGAATTGATCATGAATTCCAATATATTTTTTAAAAAATTAGGAGGGTGGGCATGAAAAAGAAAACATAAACAAAATACACAACTATAGAGTGGAATAATTCATTTAACCCCACTTGAGAGTAAGACTTTCAAAAATATAATGCTTTTGGTTTTGCCAGTCCTTCTCTGAAGCTAGGATAAGTCATTCTTCCACTTTCCACTACACTCTCACACAGATAAGCACAAGACACTAATTATTTATCTCTTTTGGTGGAAAGGAGAGGAGCATACAAGGGGCATTTAAAATTTTGTTTTAAAACATGAAATTCAAAATGACCAGCAAGCCAAGCAGCATTTCCAGACGCTGGTAAAAGTGAAGGGAAGACGTTTTTCACAGAGCTCTGCTATTCTAACCCCATACTAGTCCCAGCCAGGAAGCCTCTTCCAAGTGGGAATCACCCCCGGTAGTTTTGGTATCGCCAAGGGAAGTGCCTGTTGTCATTACCAGATTGGGCTCCTGAGCCTTTCCACACAGTGCTTGTGTGCAATGTGTGGTAGTAGCTCAGCAGGTCACACAGACATTTCTACAAGCTCTACTACTACAAGTTTCCACTTAATAGGAACCTACATAGTTATCCCGTGCAGACCAGCCCGGGTACAGCTGCATGTGAAGCTGTCGCTCCTTTCTTGCTAGTTCATAGTATTTCGCTTGCTCTTCTCTGGATAACGCGTGCCACTGGGGTGGAGAAAAGACAAAAAGACAAAATAAAAAGCACTAGTGGTTGGGGTTTTCTTAAGCATGTTAACAGCAAAGTGTGTTATTTATACACATATTTATACACATACAGTTAGAATCGATTTTCATAAAAAAGAGATAAAACAGATGATCTGGCATGCTGACATTCATATTTTATTTACAACTCTAGATTATAACTGCAGTTAAATCAACTGAACCACGACTAATCATTTACATGCACTCAACCCCTTTTGTCTCCTGTTGAGAGAGGAGAATTAATAAATCTAAACAAAAACAGACAGCAGGGGAGATTGTCCAGAAGCTGAACCACTTGTCATGAGCTAGAACTCAGTTACAGCTTTGGAGGTGTCTCCCCCACTGGCACTTCCTCGCCTCTTCTAGCTCTCACAGGTGCTGATACTGGTACTGTACTCAAAGTTTTTTCATTTCCCATTTACTTTTCTGCCTATCTTAGGCCAAAATAAAAATCTAAGATTTTTGCATCAACCAGTCATGGAAATGATACTGAAATAACACTGCTATTAATTAACTCCTCATCTTCCCCATGAATGACCCCACTGGCAAGAAGTGCCTGTGAAAATTAAAAAACAAACCAAGGCCTTTGGTTTAGCAATTTCCCTATCCATTTTCACAATGGCAGAAAAATAGAGGGATTCAGAAGGTGTGAATCCTACAGAGTTTCAGGCCCTGCTGGTGCTTGTCCCTTGTTACCTACCCTTCGACCGAGAATTTGGTTGATGGCTGCGCTCTCTTTCAATGTGCATTCTGCTACAACTTTTGCTCTCATTTCCTTCATATACAACATAAATGCATTAAGAGGTTTCTTTATGTGTGGCTTCTTTTTCTCTTCTTCTTTTTTGGAGTCCTGATGTTTTCTGTAGAGTAAAGATACAACAGACAGAGACCTCACAGTGAGAACTCCTTGTGAGTTTATCAAATTAATCCCCTCAATCTCTCTAGCATTAATCCTCAGCAATCTCTAGGAAGAGGACCAGAAAGTTGTCTAGACCCTTCAACCTGGCTGCTGTATGGTAACAGTCTTAAAAGCATTACAAGAAAACGCACCTCATGTTTATGCAACATCACCAAGTACCCTCTGAGGCCCTACAAGAACCCTGGAAGGACATGGGCTCCAGAAAAATGGGCTCACAGGGAGAGCTTGAGCATGACAGTAGAGGAAATAATTACACCCCTTTATCAATGGGCTCTTGTCAGTTCAAACCTAAACTTAATACCAGCTCTCTGAATCTTTGAAAAAGCCATTTATGTTTAGTTTTTTGTCTCCTGTGGTATATCTGTTATCTCAAGGCTTCAAACTAGACACTGAGTAATAGAGAAACTGGTCAAGAAACTTGAATCTCAATCAAGAAAATTCCATTTCCTTGTTCAAACAGGTGAAATTACTAATACTTGCCTATGTCATAGAATGACTCAAAGACTGCTACCATCGTTTGGACACACTTTGGCAACTAAACCACATTCAAATCAATTATAACAGAAAAGAAAAATTGAAAAAAATATTTCACAGCAAAACCATCACAAACCCAAGCCTTTTTACAAGCCACACATGCACAGGGGATGCTTTGAGTATCCCAAAGAGAAGACAGGGGAAGCAACAACTTACGAGCTGTGGAGTGAGCCGACGTCGCTCTGGGAAGATTCCTGTTTGACTGTTGGTGTGACTATGGCCGGATGAGGAATTCCAGTTGTGTGTAAACTATGGTGTGGCGGGACCATGTGTGGAGGAAACCTAGAGGAGAGAAAGCTGTGTAAATTGTCAGAATAAAAATGAATGAATGGGGAGGGATGTGTACACACATTAAGAAAAAAAAAAACAACTGGCATATAACAAGCACATGACAGCTAGACAAAGCATATGAAAGCTGGCAGCATTAATTAGCAATAAATTAAACATAATGACTCTTCTAATGTCATTAAAGCCAATCTTCCCCTTCATTATCATTACTGACACGAGACATCATGATTTTTAACATTAACAAAAGGCGAATTCAACTGAATGAACTTGTATGAAGGTGGAATTTCAGATACCTGAAACAAAATCCACCAGTCCATTTCTTTGCTGAGAAATTATGTGTGGCAGCCAAGGAATCAATTTTTATAGTTTTGAATCATGTTGTGAATTTAGGATGACATCTTTTATTCTATATTGACAGCAAAATAAAATATTAATGCCAACACATTCTAGATGCATTTTTGATAATACTTATAGACGTCTCATTAGCTACATTTTGTTGATGGAGAAAAAGAAAATATTTATTTGTGTCTAATAAATCTCTGAGCCACACCGCTTTAACAGAAGGTGGAAGATTGTGGAATTTTTGATCCATTTAAGTAACCTAGAAAGGCTTTAACAGTCTAGACTTTCTAAACAGAAAAAAATGTTGTCAGCTTTATGGTTTATGATCATATACATGGACAGATCCCAGTCCTGCAGTGGATTCAGAGGGATATGCAATCCTTCTGCATGAATCTAATTGCTTGATTGGGATCACAGCACAAACATGGCACAATCATTCAGACTTTTTACATTTTAACAGAAATGAACAAACTTCTCAAAAGCAAGATTAACTTATATAATTGTTTCTCAACAGCCTCAGAAAGGTTTTGCAGTAAATAAGGAAAGCACAGTATGACTGACTGCCTTCCCCCACTGAAGTCAACTGGTTTCCAGGAAATGGGTTCTAGCCTAAAATTATGTTTCAGAAGTAACTTTCCTCAAAACACCAAAATTAAAGTGATCTGGCAAGGGTTTTTCTCACTGCAAATCCCCATTCTCATCCCAGATTTTGAACAATCTGATCCAAGCAAAATAACCCAAGATTATGGAACACTCAATGGGATAAATAATTATTCCTTCTATCACCAATATACAGTAATTTTTTTCTATCCAACAGGATTTAAAATGGGGTGCTATACCATGTATACTGCTGTGTGTAAGCATCAGAAATATAGTGGGCTTATCTTTCTCTCTCCCCTCTTATAAATTCCAACACTGAGCTTAACAATCGCATCCCCTGTGATTGCCCAGACATTCTCTACATTCAGAAGATGACACAGAAGTACTTTCATGAACAAGAGCACTGTCCACTACAAGCTCTGAGGATCTTTTGTCTATCAGCTGGTAGTACTCAGGGTGATTAGACAGAACTATTTTGTCTTAGAAGGCAGTGGTAGGAAGAGCAGGACTGACAGGGAGAATGTGAAATTGTTCAAGTTGTAGAGAATTGCAGTTCTTCATGAACAAAGGCATGGAGAGAAGGGAGGCAAGGAAGGTGGGATGGCAAGGGAAGAGGAGAATGGGCAGCAAAATGGTCATTCCTACTTCTGCTAAAGACTCACGGACACAAATCGCCAAGTGGGTTGTCCAAGTGCCTTCCCACTCTCTGACAAAAGTAGCTGGGAGAGAAGCACACATTTGAGGATATGCTTTGGTTCATGGTAGGTCAGAACAGAAGACAGTGTCGAGGCTGCAAAGGAGACTGGCATCCTTGTCCCAGTTCTGCCACAGAACTGCTCACCATCAGCAAGACACAAACTGGGCCTTTTTATTACTTTTTTCTGTTCTTTCTCTACTTCCATGTCTACGTATTTTGATTGGACATATCTAGAATTTGTTCACACAGCGCCTGGGGCCTTCAAACATGATACAGTGCAAATAAAAACTGGCAGTATGAGCTGGATTTTTTTTTAAATAACTAACAAACATGATCAAAAATAAAAGTGGTGGTAAAAAACTGACCTTGCTGAACACAGTCTAAGCACAGGGATAAAAACACATCCTCTCAAGGGACTGTTCTAGGCAAGACTGAGTGCTTCAGAGAGGACAATGCTGCTGGGGCTGGCTAGGCCAGAAACAAGGGGACAATGAAGGATGAAGATGGAGATGAAAAGCCTTCCTTCAGAGAGCAGGCAGGAAGAGCTCTGCTGGTCTGACATGAGGGCTCAGCGTGAAGTGCACTGGCCATGTACCAGCAGGGAGAAAATCTAAGTGCAGAGCACAGCATGCACACATTGTGTCAAAGCCTAAAGGATGGCAAAGCCTCCACTGACCTCAGCTGGGATATTTTACTCACTGGGCTCTAAACTCCAGAGACAGCAGCCTTCATCACCAGGCAGCTGCAGCTCAGTAGTTATTTTCAGGGTTGCAGTTTCCATGAGGAAGTGCTGTGTTCATTACCAGTGACCATTTCACTTTTTCATACTGAGTCTGTCCAATTCACAAGGCTGCCTATTGGACTTACACATCCCTTCCTATATTTAGAGCTATAAAACATACTCCAGAACCCAAAGTTGCTCTCACAATCCCATGGACTTCCATTGGTGGGATGAGGGTTCAGCCCAAGATCAAAGTGCCTGCTCATTTCCATGTAGACAGCCACTCACATGGCAATATGAGCAGGGGAAGGGTGTTAATTTTTAACTTCCTGGCTACACTCCAACTTCAGTAATTACATTCAGCAAAAGTGAATTTCCCCTGAAATTTCAATTACAGAAGGTATTTTCCACTGCCACCACTTAACTGCTGTGCAGTGTTTGTCTGGTGTAATTCTGCTAAATTATTTCCTGATTTCCTCTCACAGCAGTTGTTTTTTCATAGTGGGTCCACTGTTTGCCCATCACTCAGTTAGCCCTGCCTCACTTTACCTTAAAGGCATATTACAGAGGGGTAATGAAGAATCAAGAGATCTTACAGGTATACTACAAGAATATAACGTGAGTGTGGCAAGGCTACAAGCAACAACTAAGACTTGTACCTGGTTAAAGACACTACCTTAATAGTATCAACCATTCATTAAAAACCACTATTAGTCACCCGTTAACCTTTTATAAACTATTCATAAGCACACTTAAACTAATAAAGAGCAATTTCTAAGCTTAGGGAACTAAAGGTTGGGAAGCACTACAGGCTCCAAAGATCTATACCATAATGCAGGCAAAGATGGGAACTATTTTTGAAGGCAGGCTCTGGAAAACTGTGGATGGAGGGGTGAGGTTTGAGGTCTGTGCTGTTGAGGCACAGCCAGCACAGCAAAGGCAAGGTTGGCAGCAGGGCACTGCAGGGCAGTTGCCCATTGCCAGCATGGGCACCACCAGGAATTTCCTGACCACACCAGACACCTGGACAAGGGCTGAGTCCCCCTGCTGAGCCCAGGCTGACACAGGAAAACATGCATGAAACCATGTATGAGAGCACGGAGGGTGCTCCCATCTACGGGAAACCAGAGGAGAAGTTTCTGGGCTGAAACAAAGGGTAAACACCTTAAATCAATTCATCCCCCTGCACGTGTGCCTGAGCACGTGCATACGTACGGGCTTCTGTCAGAGACAAAAAGAAAGGCTCCCTGTGTATGTGCACACCCTCACCTTCGCCTAAGACATTCGCCAGATTTTTTTTTTCTCTAGACAAGTATTCCATGAATTGCAATAAACACCCTAAAAATTCTAAGCAGCTCATTATACACTACTGTCTCCTTTTATGGCTCCAAGCCAGAATATAATGATGAGTCTTAACTTGTTAAGGACAACTAATTTTTTGTTCCTGGCTGTCTCAGGGGCTTCTCTCTTACTCACTCTCACTTTACTTCACTGTTGACATGTTTCTGTTAACTGGATGTCATCTGCCTGCCTTGATTTTATGCACAAGCAGTGGGATGCATTTTTCTGTGCAACAATTCTGCTTTGAGTTGCATTAGATTTGTCATTATTCTCTCATTTTCCCCTTGCACTTGTAACATTTCATCTATTCCTGCCTTATTTTTTGAGCCACGGTGCACCCACATTATGGTTTATACATGATCTTGCTCCCTTTGAAGCCGGCAGATTTCAGAGCCAGCCCTCGTCAGGAGAAGTGCCTGCTACCAATTTAGCAGGCTGAGGGCCCCGAGCTCCAACAACTCAATCTAAAGGGGGTCACAGGGTGGCACAAGCGAGTGTCAGCAAGTGCTGTTTAATTGCCAATCTAGGCTTCTCCATGGTGTTTAAAGTATAATGACCCATCACTTAATTCTGAGAAGTCCTGGCCCTGCTGCTGAATGGAATGAATATCAAAGGATGTGCTAGAACAGGGCAAGGAGCCTACATTTCCTATAACTGCCATAAGTATAATAGACCTCTACTTCTGTCGTCCCATTACCACAATAATGTATTTAATTTGCTGTGTACTCTTTTTAACTAGATACCTTTCATAAAGTCTATCTTGGGAATATAGCCCCCCCTGCTTCCACATCTCCCCCCTCCCTCAAATGACTAGCCTCTCTAATAATAATTAAAATAAATCAAGCTCTACTTTGCCTCACACCATACCTGCAAGTCTTTTACAGATATTAAAAAGATTAAATAGGGGGAGGCAACCATTGTTTAAATTTGCAACTCTCTCCCCAGCCTAGTATTTTTTTTTTTGTGTTCTGGGACTACACTTTTTTTTTAAAGTTGATTTTCCAGCTGACTATTTGCTGGGCCAGCATTTTAATTTAAATTTTTAGGTTTTTTGTTTACTTATCTAAAGCACATACCACAATGTTTTCCCACCCATTCATTCACAAGCCCTAGGTACAGATTTCCACTTCTCAATGAGGTGTGCTTCCCCCCAGCCCTCACCAGTCTTTTCCTCCTTAGATCATCTATGCACCAATGCTCACATATTAAACTGCAGAGATGGAGAGGAAGGGACAGAGCAGGGAAGAGATGTGGAACCTTGCTATGTAATGCATGCTAATTTAATTATGTGCCATCATCAAAATGGATTAGCTGTTTCAGCCCATCAGGAAAGTCTAAACTTCCACCGATTTAATTAACCAGGCTGAAAATCAGATGAACAGAAAATAAAACTATCATTAGGAGCAATTACTGATTACTTAAACATAGTGCTGCCAACCAGTTTGTAAATAAAACTAGCAGCCCCTGGAAAATTAGATGGAATTAATTGGAGGTAGGGAGGGGGAGAAATATATACTTCTAAAGCTTTTGAGGGTCAGGCAGGCCCTTTTATGTTGACTATTAGTGTTTGGAGCTTTGGGAGGGGAAAACACAGCACAATAACCTTCCTCCCAACTCTGCTGAAGAGCAGTCCTCCTCCCTCCTGAACCTTCCCTCCCGCGCACACAGCGCTGCTCGGGCTGATGGCCACCGGGGAAGCAAAGACTATCACGACTTCTCATCCCTGCTTTTTCAACATTACACTCTCCCAGCTCTTTCATTTAGTTTGGCTTTTAAAGGTGGCTGCTCACTCCTCCACTTCTCCCTCTAAGACAAATTCTTGAGGCCCAATGACAGCATTAGGACACCACCTTCTCCTCACATGGGATGGTGGCCCTCGCCTCTCCTCCACCCCACCAAAAAGCTAAGGATGGATGTTTAACTGAAGTGCTTTCAGGAATCTGCTGCCTAGATGAAATGCTCTCCTACAGAGAGTGGAGGAGGAGCTACACTGACTCTTGATTTAGGACCTCAGTATTTGAACTCACCTTGACATGGAAGCATTGACGGTCAGAGCTGTTGGGTAAGGGTGGCGGAAACCCCCTGTCGTGATTGGGTACACTGGCTGACCTTGCCTGGAAAAAAAGAAGGGAGAGAGAGAATGAGAGAAAGGAAAAAAAGGGCTTTAAAAAAAAAAAAAGAGAACAACAAAAAACTTCTCTCTGCACAGTAAGCTTTATTCTCATTTGATCAGAACAAAAATCTTGGGGATTGTACAGCAAGGATCAAAGGAAAGAAACACAGAACAATTTGAATGCCATAAATCTGATAGGAATGGCTAATTAAATTTTATAACCTCTGCTTATGTCAATAGAGACCCTCTCCCCAAGCTGAAACTAGGTGTTTTGTTGTAATAATTAAAGGCGAAGTCTCGCTTGCTTTAATGGAGCCATCACACTAATTGAGGGCTACACATCCAAAGGAAAACAATAATGAATGTAAATTTATACCAAAATAAAGTACAGTGAATCAAAGGACTTCAGTTGCGCTTTGGGCCTCTTTCGGTATTTAGATCTCGGTGAGAAAACATTAAATTAACAGAGCTTAATTTGTAGCCTTTTGTCAGATTAACAAGTGTTGACAAGAGTTACCGGGGGAGAGTCCCCAAGAAGTATTGTGGGTAACCAATAGACAATCACACCTCATTACAATAATTAAAAAATACAGCAACATGCAAAACAGCATCCTCATGAAAGACACGCAACTTTTTCTGATGGAGGTTTGTCTGTGCTGGCTAGCTCGTTTCATCTGTCCTTCAAATACATCATCTGACTGGGCAGGATGCTTTTGGAGTGGGTACTATGCCAGAAACATGCAGGCCAGTGGAGGATAGATGGGTTGGGAAGTTGATGGTGAAGTGCAAGAGGGAAGGAGTGGGGAAATGAAAAACTTGGGTTACTTCTGCCAAGTTGGCCATGATACTCTCCTAGAGCAAAAGCCAATGTGATGGTGCCACCCCTCAACAAAAATCACTGGGAGAAGCTGTAAGAGCTGTGGGTAGGCAAGCACACCACAGTGTTGACTTGTTCTAAAGCAGCAGGGATGGCAGAGTTGCCCAGAGACAGAGGTGGTCATTAGCACCTGTCTGGTGAAACTGGCCACACGTGGCATCATTCACGTGCTTTGGCAGCCATGGCATAAGGTGCAAGGACAAACTTGTGTCTGCACACTACAGACACACACATGAGCAATGGGACATAGGTCAGGGACAGTGAGGAGTTTCTTCCCTTCACTCTCATGTCTTTCATGTCACTAACTTTTGGCACTAGCTGAGTGTATTTGTTTCAAACATTGAGGTGTTGCTGTGCAAACTTGAGCTAAGGAGCTCACATGTAGTCTACAACTGTTCAGGGTGTCCTTTGGAAAAGGTAAATCACCACAAACTAGGAGGAATTTCAGATTTCATGGAGACCAATGCTTTGGGTTTTTCTTCTGCTCAAGATGTGCTCTTCTGGATAAGCAACATTCAGCAGAGAGGTGATGGACATGCTTCACCCTCAGGGCGGGGGAACATCTACCCAAAATAGCTGCATGACCACCCACAAGGAAGGCCAGAAGCTCCACCTCTGCTGCATCAACACTTTTATGCTTGAGAAAGGCCTCCAAGGCCCCTGATGCCACCACCTCTCCTTGCCCAAGACTTGGGGATATGCAGTGACCCCCTGCTCTCCTGTGGGCTGTCAACTCCAGTTCCTCATGGAGGAATTTTTGGAGAGGTATTTTAACACAGCTGGCCAAACAACCTCAAGCAGGGGCAAACTATTTTGAACTTTGGGCAATTCATTTCTGTAAAAAATATTATCACCCCAAAATGGAGGAGGCCTGTTACGTGAGAAAAACAGGGTAACAGTCTTGATTTATAATGCATAGAACTGTTGTATCCAGCAGTGCAAATGGATTTTATAAGCATTTAAATCAAATATACTACACAAAAGGCTTATACAGTGCTTAAGTGTATTATAAACCTATTGAGAGATGGCAACATAAGAAAAAAAAGAAAATAAGGACTCAGTTACTGGTGGGAACCTCATACCCAGCAAGGCCCTGCAAGTGGGATCTGAGGAGTTGAAAACAAAACCAAACCCCAAACTAACTTTCCACTGCTTTTTTCTTAGCCAGTTTTAAAGTAAACTAATTCCTTTTACTTGTTTAAAATTCCATTCCTCAGATGCCAATTGCCAACTGCCCAGCCACATCTCATCTAGGAATGCTGCTCATGGCCAATGTAAAGCTCTACTGTTTCATTAGAAAAACAAAAGGGTTTTCAAAAGACAAGGCAAATTAAATTTAAAATTGCAAATCTTACAGATATGCCTCAGAGGATCTGTGAGAACCACCCTGAACCCCTAGAAAACCAAATTTGATAAAAACTCATGCAGTTGGGATGACAGCTGCTCAGGTTTGTTTATGACCACATGACCTGGCATATATCTTAATTAACCTTCATGAGGTGGGTAAATTCATAACACTCAATGAAGTGGCAGTTGGCAAACAAACTCAAACTCATCCCAATGCACACACACACAGACACATATATTTTTACATAAATTTTACACATCAGAAAAAGAAAAAAAGAAATTAAAAAAATGGAACTCCTTACTGTGGTACTAACCATCCTAGCGGATGGGGGATTTGTCCTACAGTGCCTGGTGATAATGGATAATAAGGAGATATATCTGGAGGATGTGGAGGCCTTGGAATTCCTATAGAAAAGGAACATAAAGCAGTGTCAGTATTGAAATGTGGAAATAAATAAAATATAAAGAAAAAACACATATGTTTCTAAATTTCTGACAATTTACTTTTATTACAGCATTTGTGCCTTCACTTAGGGTTTTCAAAGGCTTTTTCACATTCTCATTTCTTAAACAATAAAAAATTATGTTATTCACTCCCTCAGTCACCTCTCCAGAGATAATTATTTTTGTTATTTAGAATTTAGCAGTCTCAGATAAAATTTTGGTGTGATGCTGTATTAGATATTCTCTTAAATGTTCAACACAAAGATGGCCCCTGCAACAATTGCATGGTTATTTTAGTTTCAATGTCAGCCAAAAGACCACAGGCCCTACCCATGTGATGACTGGGTACTCAATAACATGGCATTACTCCAAAGTAATCTCCAGAACAAATTTAAAAGTCATTAAAATTGCAAATGGTGTTTGCTTTTGAGCAAACCTAGGAAAACTTTTCTGAAACCAGGAGTGGAGGTGAGGGCCCCTGGAAGTGCTTGGTAAAACCAGGGGCAGATGTTGAAGGCGTGCAGGGGAGGACAGAGAGCCCACCCCTCCTCTCTCTGGATGAGGTGCAGTTCCTACTCAGAAACCAGAAACAAGCCTTAAATATTAACGCTCCTTACCTTAAGAGAAAATAGGAATTACTCAGAGGAGTAAGGGTTACAAAGCTGGGTCTTTCAATTAACAAGCCAGGGCACAATTACACAGCAGAAGCAAAATTAAAACAGTGAGCATTAAAAAGAAGGGGTACTGTATTCAGGGCTAAAAACTATTTTTTAAGTCACTTGGGAAGCTTTTAATCTCTAAATTAAATCTCCTTGTGTGACATTTTCATGCAGGCATTGCTTTTTCTCCATTACAAAACCCAAACAGATTAACTGGGCTTTAACCATCCACTGAGCTATTTGCACACTTGAAAGAATGTTCACAGAAGAAAAGTAAACAGTCTACAGACGTTAATCATATGTTTTACGATAACCATTTAAAAGCTATTCCCTGTACTACCATTATTTAAATGAGAGGTTGACTATGCCATTCACTTGCAATATCCAGGGATGGTGAGATGGATTCCTTTCAAGCCACGTGAAGTCAGCATTAAGCACAATTAAAAGGGGGCCCCAGTTGAAGCATATCGAGTGACAACCAGCTAATGCACAGTCTCATTCAAGGGCTGGAGTTCAGATAAATTATCTGCATAAGTTAGGGCTGACACAGAGTGATTCCTTTGACATGAATTCTGTTTCTGATGAACTTCCCAATTAACTAAATGGGGTTTGGATTAACAAAACCAAAACCACTGTCACTAGGAGCTCAGCGCAGCCTGGAGAAAGAAGATTGACACTGTTTGACTTCTTTGGGACCTCAGGTTAAAAAGGGACTCTTAAAAAGTTAGAATAACATGTAAATTCTACTCTGTAACACCAATAAATCTAGTCAGGATTTTACGTGGTGCTCTATATTCAAGCAGAGTGCCCTTCAGGCTGAACTTAGAGCTGGGTAGACTTACATTGGGGAAAAGAGTTGCAAGTGTAAAGCTGGAGCTAAGTAGTTACAGTGGATGAAAATTCAACATTATAGAAGAAAAATGGCTGAACTCCTGACACAGAAACAATGGGATTTGGGGAATTAAAAGAGATTCATTTTGAAACCGGTCATGACCCACCACCTTTAAAATTCCGGCTGCAATTTTGTAAGTGCAGATCACAGAATGTACATGTTTAATTCTCTGGGTCGTGCATGCAAACCAAGCACTGGTAGACTGAACTACCAGGTGGGGTATCATGCTTGCACAGAAACACACCTGCAAGAGACCCCACACATGCAACTCTGGTGTCACCCTGCAGAAGCTCTATGAAAATTCACCCAGTGGGTTTCCTTCTGAAGTCTAATTGGCTTAAAAAGAAAGTATTTTGTCTGGGTTTGACATTTTACATGCCCCCTTTGGTGCTCCAGCAAGAGAAATCCATTCTCCCACACTCCTCTCCCCTAATGTGCAAAAAGGGAAGATCCACCCACTCCCTCTGAAAAGAAACCCCAAAATACTTCCCACCTACCTGTTTTGGGGTCTACGTCAGCTGGTAAGTGTGGAGGAGGGTTTCCTGGTGTGAAGTGCTCATTGCTGTATGTGATAAGCGGCGTAAGAGGGTGTACATGGTGTGGGTGCTGCACAACTGGCACTTTGTTAGACTGTCAAGAGAAAAAGGTTGACACTGTTAGAGCAGTGCTGGACATCCTCCCACTAAAGCACGAGGAACAAGACACAAAAATCTGAGTAGCCAGGATTTCGATGTGATCCTCAGGCTTTTCCAGATTCCTTCTTGGCATCACCCTTGCAGTTTTCCCACCCTCTTGCTTAAAACCTCCTCACACACTTTCCCTGCTGTTGAGGTTCTTTAATCTTTTTGACCTGTCATGCTCCTGTATGGAGCAATAGCAATTCTTTAAAATTTTTCCTTTTTATTTTATAATCTTGTGCTTCACCTCCAAGATGCTGGCAGACTCCACAGTGAGGGGCTGAGAGAGTCCCCCATTTAATTAGCAAGAGACCCAAATGCTCAATGACCTGTAGGTCTTTTCCTCTCCCCTTCCTGTTCTCACTCTCAGTTCTGCATTTTACTGCTCATTGCAAATACTCCAGATAAAAAGCCTTTGTAGTGCTGGAGTATTCCCTTCATCAGCAAGCATTAAGCTGACAAGCGATCACCTGAATATTTTATATATATATTTTAGAAGAGCTGATTAATTATCAATTCATCAGAGAGCGCTAATAAATGGAAACTGGATACTGATTAATTAGGCTACTAAAATATTCAGCTATATAAATAATGGCAAAACCCCCCAGATAAAGCCATTGAAATTAACACTCTTCTAGGGGGAATAATCACATAGATATCATGAGATTTTCCCCATCACATTCCTGGCTCTGGGGGTAAAAAAATATTTTTCTCAACAACAATTTAAAAAAAAAAAATAAAAAGGAGTGAATGAATGAAAGAAAAAGGCAGGCTGAACTGTAACTTACCCTTACAAGATCACAAAGAAAAAATTAAGCTGAAACCAGCTGAACCACTGGACCATTTACTGCGAGTAATCCAATTGCAAAAAACCCTATTCCCCATAGAGGATTTTCACTAAAATCCTACAACAGGGACATTTAACCAGATTAGGTACCAGCAAAGATAAAGAGGCTGGTATTAGATGATGAATGGATTAGAGTCAGGTTTCATTTTAGAATGTGTCTTCATTTCCTTTTATTACTTTAAGTAAGGAACAACTTGCATTAACATCAAGTAAAAGGAATCACATTAAAATAAAGCAGTGATACCATGGTGGCCGCGATAGCGCCGCTGCTGTTCAGGGTCTGCCAGCACTCTCCTGCTCACCCTCCTGCTCCAGGATGGCCCTAAGCCCACTGCTCACTCCCCAGCACCCCCAAACACACACACACCCCCTCACCGTGCCACCTTAGACAAGCCATTGCTATTATCTCAATCTGGCTTCCAATGCTCTGAGCTTCCCTTACAAGCATTTCAAAAAGAATTCAGTTATTCTTTGGGAATGAGCTTCTAGACTGTGGGGAAGGAAGAGGGAAGACAAACTGGGAGCAAGGAGGAAAAGAAATATCTGTCTTCCCTGAATAAACAAGAAGTCCCTCCACCCTACTTTGGCCAAATGAAGAAGTTCCTCCACCATGCTCTGGCTCCCCCAGCCCCTGCCATAAGTGGCTATTTGGGCTCACTGCTTTGATAACTGCAGAAAAAAGTGTGCATCCAAAAGAAGCCAGCCAAGAGCTGTACTTGTGCTTCCCACAACTTCTCCTGGGTTCTTCACCACGTTCATCTCTTTCTGCCACCCTTACATGGGATGATTCCTCTCCACCACCAAGCACTTGGCACAGGGGATTCCCCTGACAAGTGGCCATCATGCAGGAAGGAATGTGGTCAATGACAGGTAATGCTATGATTAACAGCACGTTGTGCTGGCTGGGTTGTGGGTCAGATCTGCCAGCTGAACAGCCAAGGACAACTTTTGGCCATGTAGATCCATAATGGTTTCACATCAGGAGGAGATATGAGCATTTGGCTCTCCAAGTTCAAAAAGCCAAAGGAGATGCTCTAACCCAAAATCTGTTCTCATTCAAGTGAACCAACCCAAGCAGTCTGAAAGTAACTGAAAGCTCTGGTAAGGGTTTCACCTAACAAATTATATTTCACACCACACAAAGTAGCAGGCATCTACTCAACAACACAAGACATTATAAGCCAAATGACCAGTTGATGAGGTTCACAAAAATGATGATTTCCAATAAGAGCTATTTTTTCTGGCCAAGAATTGTGTGAACTCCTGCTGTTAGGTGAACCACAGTGTGGCCCCATTTATTGAAGAAGTTAATACAAGCTGTAGCTTTTGTGCTCTCCCAACACTATCTTCACATCATTGTAAACCTCACCCAGACCCTGACAGACATTAAGTGCTGTCTTCCACAGAGAGCTTATTTTCACAGAAACTAGAGCTGGTTAGTTAAAAAAAAAATAAGTAGAATAACATTAGCGGGCCAGACTTAAGCCAACAAACAAGAAACAACACGTGAGAGGAAAGCTGGACTGACATGGCTCCATCACCAAAACCAGATGTACCATAGAGGGTTACATATAAACTGTGGGAAACCACCACTCCTTGCTTTGATATACCAAGACTGCCCACAATATCTCTACAAAACAGAACAACTGCTAAATTGTGATGTATTGCACTTAACATGTTTCAGAGACAAATAAAAAGCAAAAGGAAAAACAAAAATCAACAATTAAGAGCTTGAACCTTAAGTCTGCAAATTTTTCCCCTGGTAAGTAATTTTTGTTTAGGTTACTACCATGCACTCATATAATAGTGCAAGGGTAGGACAACTCTTTTGCCACTCTGATGATGCTGGGGCAGAGGTGGGGTGGGGGGAGAAAGTACCAGGAGAAAGAGAGAAACTGTCATATACATGCTCAAAAAAATGCTCTCTGGGACAGAGGAGTGTGATCCACTTCCCAGTGAGTCAGTCTGCATCTGTACCACTACCCAGGAACAGGTTTCCATTCTGTTTTGCACTGTTTAGCACACACTGGGGAAAGGGACCATAACTCCCCTCAGAACAGCACACACAATTTGCAAGCCAAGCTAAACATGCATAATATGCTAAACAAGCTGCTCTTTAAAAGTACTGTCCCTCAAGTTAACTAAGCTTCCTTGGAAAAGAAAAATAAAGGACTATCTGGGAAAGAGCAGGATTAATCCTGCAGATGCATCTTCCTTTGAAGTCAATGGGAGCTCTGCCTGAGTAACAAGTGTGGTCCTAACCCCATCCACTGGCAATGAAAGGTAAACCACAGAAGCCATCAATAGGAGACACCCATTGGACGACTTTAGACATCCCCCTGCAAAAAGCAATATTCTCCAATGTGCATTTGTGAGCACTTTATCAAGGGCACTTTTAAGCTAAGAGCCATTGTGAGATGCAGGAGTTTCTCTGGCAAGTTGAAGAGCTCCATTTATGGCTCTGTCAGGCATGGGAAGGGGAGCTGCACTGGTACACACAGATTAGCATCAGGGCATGTGCTAACAGGACTGGAAAAAGTGGAGATTTGTAAAGACAAATCCCAGCACCTAAGAAGTACCAAGCCTTCTGCTGATAAATCACCCCTCTCCATTGAAAGCTGAGGTCTCATATCCTAAGTTAGAGGGCATGGTAAAGAATTGCAGAAAGAGAAGAGAAGTTTGCTTTTCTTGATAACTGCTGCCTGAAGCAACCAGAAGAAATTGTCCCCATAGGGGCTCTACTACTAAACCTCGCTATATGAATTTGAAATGCTTCTGGGAGTGCTTAAACACAGATCAGTTTAAACAATAATGGAGCTCTAGAACGAAAAAAATTCCCACACCAAAACCACAACAAATTTTGGACTGATAAATGTTTGAAAGGAGTACTGAGATCCATTTAGACTAAGTTCTGATAGGTGCCTTTAGGGAACAAAAAAACCTATCTGAACTTCAGATTTAAACTGCAGGGGATTGTGTGTATAAATTGCTGCGTATTAGTCTTTGTTGCATGGTAAGGACATTTCATTAACAGGATGAAAGATGCTTCTATGCGTATACAGCCCAATTTAATACACCCCACTGATGAATACTCCCCATTTATTGAAGAAGTTAATACATGCTGTATAAATCAATAGTTCCTAAGTCTCTGAAAGCAACATAGGACTTGCACAAGATGAAACACTGTATTGTTGAGCACACAAAGAGAAACCAACCTGTAAACAGGAAGAGTTTACGACTGCAATTTCTGCTTGCAAATTCATGGTTTGTTTGGCTTTGGTAATAAAACCACGGTATCATATCAACTCCAAGTCAGAAAAAACCATGCCAGAGACACCAGAGGACGTCCTCACAAGGATAATGTGGGGTTAGTAAAGGCAGGTCTGCACAAAAAGCCACCCAGGCTGAAAACAAGCCATCATGCCATGGCAGCAGCCAAAGCCTCCAGCCTCTGACTCCTTTCCAGTGCATCCCGAGGGCAGGGGCAGGCTCCTGCACCATCCCAGCCTGAAACTCCAGTAGCTACCAGCATAGCCCATGGAGCTGCACCCCTTTCCCTGACCTGGGTGGCCTTTGAAATGTCCTTCAAGCCCTGTGAGGCAGGGAGGTGCTGCAGCCCACCAGACACCCCTCAACCACCCACGACCGGGAGGGACTGAGAAGGTGATTGCACCCAGAGCCCAGAGCCCTGGCCCCTTCCTCCACCACCAGAGGAATGAGAGCTCTCCATCCTCCTTAAAACCTATTAATCACGAGACACTGAAAACAAATGGAGCTAGAGCTCCGCCTGTCTTTTTGCCATGTCCTCCTCTTCCCCACAGCTCTCCTTTTCCGCTGAAGAAAGATGGGCCCTGAAAGTGCTTTTATGAGCCAATACAATACAATAAAACAAAAGCAGCACAGAAGAGGGTTTGTCAGCCTTTTCCCCTCCTCCAGGGTGGATGCAGGTCGACAGTGGTCTTGAATTAGCAGGCCCTCCTGGAGATGCTGCCTGAGCTTAGCAAGCAGTACCATTCAATACCAGTTCACATTAAAAAATAGGTTTATAAACAGTTTCTATTTTCCAGATGATGCTATTACAGTTTTTCTGACTGTGGCCAGTGAAA